AGCCCTTCGCCAACTGATTAATCACACCAATTAGTTAAGTGACCTAATCTAAGATGAAACACCCTGGAAACACAACCGGAAACTTTTAGCAAAGGTAGATAGCTTAGTTCTCACGGACTATCAGATTTTGCAACCGTCATAACATTGTTACCGTCCGGTAAAACCACAGTCGATCCCAGATTACAGCAACAAAAATGATGAACTAAGGTTCGGTTAAAAACCGTCACGTTTTCCAACTTTCGAAAATGTTGCTTGCAAACAACTTACCCCTCGGAACCTATTCGCGCAATCTCACAAAATCCATTCGACCTAGTCGATGCATCGCGGTAAACCCCCTCTTGCTGTTTTAAACATGGAAACGCTAGGCCAAGTCAATGGTCGACAATTACTTAAAATCCCAAAATTTTGCTCGGCGATATCTCAGTTCGGCGAGCCTATCCGCGCGATTGTCAAAAATAAATCTTACCACCAACCCTCCCAACAAACCTAAAGACACTAACGACGTGCTAAGATAAATCGCTTTTCCGTCAAAAATAGTAAGCTATCGCATCATTCCGTAGCAACCTAGTTTTAACAATACCAACGCTAGTATCATAGATCCAGAAACAGGAGAAAAAAAGCCTTCTACGTGGGCCTTAGGAAGTCACAAGTGCACATAAAAAGCGGGAAGCTTGACTAAAAACGTTCGCTATTTTTTCCTCTATTGTCGATTGTCACGGAGCTAATGAAGCAGGCGAAGTTGACCACTTTTGTCCTTACCTATGGATACCAATCCAAGTAACAAATTGCGCAAGAGCATTAACTATGTTGTATGGAATGTTAAAGATTTTGTTAGGATCGTGCAAGAAGGTTCTGAAAGCTGGGTGCTCTAATTTTGGACGCGACGTTCTCCCATTGCGTTATTAGGTGGTTGGCCTTACATGAGTCCCCCATGTTGCTCGATCGTTGGCAGTACGAGCGATTGACTAAAATGTGTGCAGCTTGTCAGCTTGTCTGCAAGTGGTGCCCACTTTTTAATCTTACCCGCCTGCGAGAAGCGTCCGCCTCTGAAAACTGTCGCTCACCATCTGAGATGATCGAATTCTGACAGCTCTGCCTTATAACCCTGTTTAGATTGCTGTTGCTATAGCCTTGAGCTCAACAGTTCAGTACCGCAACAGTCTCCCAGGTACAACCAAGCAGTTCAGCATATTTTTGCAAACACAAAACTAGATTGTTCCCGGTACACAGAGTTTGATTTAATAGATGGTTTTTCCATCGAGGCTAGGAAAGTTCTCTTGCTATAGTCTGCCAACTCGTTTCACGAAAACGGAAGAGCAACAATCAGGACCGTAGTCAGCGAGTCGACATGTTACGCAAGATTCTGTAGATGTGAATAAGCAATATCCGTTGCTCACAATGTATCTTATTCTATATATTAAGGCAGTTCCGTGAATTACATGACGGAGTGCTAGTTTTTGACTTATAATCAAGCGAACATAGCGGGGTAACAACAAACCACAGCCTCGTGATGTCAAACTTAATCCAAATTATTAAAGTTCTCGAAATAATAAGTCATTGGATAAATTTCATATCGTACCATGAGACTGTGGTCTCTCAATAATCTACTATGTTAAGTTCCATGAAGACAAGTTTATCACAGGGCTAAATCCCAGTTATGGTTTTACTCATGCTCTGGGAGAACGTTTCAACACGGTGATATTGATAGTTGGTAAATCGCTCCGGAATGTAACAATTTTGTTAAAATATACTTCCGTAATTATATACAGAAATTAACGCTGGGATATTTGCCCATCTTAATCTTCCTTCGCTTGATGTCCATGGTAAAAAATAACAGGGGGAATTGTGAAGCGCTGACTGGATGAAAGACCAACCGGCAATTGTAAGATCTGTGACTACAGGTTACAAGATGGATAACCTGGGTAAAGAAGAACCTAAGCTGCAACCACGCCAACATATTGGACAGCTGAAGTTGCAAGAGCACGAGATACAGGCCTCAAGAATACGGCAAAAAGCGCAATATTCTGTACACAAAAAGTACAGCGAAGGCCGCTTACGAAAGGATCAGATACGATGCGTGGTGGCAGCAAAGCGCCAGACAAGCAATGTGCAAATGAATCCGAAGTTTTGGGGAAAAGAAGGTGTACCATGTCTTATCATTTGCAAGAGCAGCAACAGCGTGCCGCTGCGATTGGCTAAAATCAGCAAAGAAGAGCTTAGGAAAAGTGGTCAATATATAGACAAGCCTGCCCAAAAAAATCAAGTTAAATAAGCTGACCCCGTCAGAAAGTTTGCTAATAACGTTTTTCATACATCAATCAAAAATTGATGATCCCAAACCGTCATCTTCAGCATCAAGAGGCTTCGAAGATCAGAAATATTTGCACCTTTTCGCTGTCCCTTTTCCTGTCGTGCAATGGGTAGCAGGCCTGTCGTAACGAAGTTCAATGAAGTCACGTTGGGCCATTTCAAGGTCGATATGAAGCCATGTGAGGGCCAAAGGTTTACAGAGCTTTTACGGTGTAAACGGTAAACCTGGGATAAAAGAAAGACGCAACATAAACCAGGTAAACATGATAAAGCTTTTTTAACTTTAACCCCAAAGACGATATTGGGAATGCACGAACTTTTGAAAGATTTAGAATATTCAGACATATCTTTCCTATTTTGGCTCCATCGCTTTTTCCATGGACATTTCTTTTAACGCTGTAATAATTCTGCAATGTTTAGGCATGAACACTAGCTCTATGGCACGCGAGCATGTGATTGTGGTACCTCAACTGTGGTGGTGCTTTAATGTATAGCGCTGCGGCCGAAGAGAAAGCGCAAAGCTTGCAACAATTCATCCAGTCGTTGCTTATAATTTGTTTGGTGCTGAAAAGCTGCTGATAACCACTAACACTTCATCATCACGATTTCATCATCACAACTGATGACACGACACAAAAAACTGAAAACAGAAAACTCTTTTTGTGGACCCTATCGTTTTTGAATAATTTTCGAACAGCTATCGAAATAAATAATTATCGTTTTAGTGGTACGAATCTATCAATTTGTGAGTTGGCATGACTGATTGAGACATCAAATAACTGTCAGACTTAATAAGCGCTTTGTCTGGTTGCTTGATGGTCCACTACGTACAAAGTTTGACAACCTAGCGGCGTGCGGCGGTCTCTGTGGGCTCGAGCCCCACCAACCGCGACAGTGATCCACTGACAATAAGGAAAACCTCTCCTGCGAGCTGCCGTGTGACGGTATTGTCTGGCACGATGCAAATTCTTCATCCTCACTGGCATCCTGTCGCCCATGAACAGACCCTGCACTGTCCTGTGCGCCGACGACAGCCGGTGTGACGGCCGGTTAGTAGAGTGTGCGGAATGCACTAACGACGCGCCAACCGTCCACCTGCACCGCGTCACCCGACTGACCAGAGCGTTGCCTCACCGGGAGGCGACGAGCTGGGAGCAGCGAGGTTTTTTGCCAGTGCATGACATTTGGACGCTGCGACCGGTAGTGCGCCAGAGCGGCTGTCCGTCATCATGGGGTGTCTGCAGGTGAGCACCAGCTGGCTGTCAGGGTGGCGGTCAAGGCTTGTCCGGCGCTGGGCTGACGTCAGCTGTCACGGCATGCCTGCCGACATCCGGCAGTCGAAGCACTCGAATCATTAGTCGAATCGCTTTCCCGTTGTTGTATGTATTTGATCAGGCTCTGTTGCCGGACAGGAGACGCAATGCGGCCAATGCAAAACTGTCGATGCTGCTACGGTTAGCGGCTCAGGAAATGTTGCTAGGTCACCGCAGAATCTCCTTCACTTACCTAAGAACCAGAGCAGAGCTTCACGCAGATGCTGTCAGCTGAATATAAATGTGCAAGCCTGCTTATTAAACGTTCTAGCCCACGTTTGCTTGATTTATTTTCGGTACCCTGGTTATAAGAACGCTTTACTGGCACCACTTAAGGTCGCTTGCGGCGTAGCATGTCTTACGCCTACGGTAGCTGACCTTTGTTGGCTGGAGCGTGTCACAAACTTTCGAATTGCTACCGTTTTCTGTTACAGGGGCTGATATTACTGTTCCTGTCCTGCGCAGTTACACGTTCGACCTTCCTTGGCAAAGGGTACGTATGCATTACCCATTTTATTTGCTGGAGCGAAATGGCACTGAATAGTGGTACTTGACCACCGGTCAGACATTTACAACGGCCATGGCTCGGATCATGCTTCCCCGAATTACTGATGTTCAGGTCTTTCACATCTTTCATTGGCGTAAAAGTCTTCTAGTACTAAAAATCTACTGCATAAATACCTTATTTCTATAAGCTTATTTCATGCATTTGGAGACGCGCAGACGCACGTACCAAAGCACAAAAGAGACAAAAAAAAACAAAAACGGAACGTATGTTAAAATCTAGGTCTACAACCATGTCTCTCCTTAAGGCTTACATCACCTTACATCACCATCATCTTGGTAACAAGTAACAAAAATTGACGAAGCAAAAGGATTGAACGAAAACATAATGAACGTATTGCAAACAATCAAAATCGATGCCAAAGTGCGTCTTGTTCGAAACATAGTACATACGTCACCTGCATCGAGGCAATTTTTGCATGGTGATGACGATCAATGAAATGCAAAATCACCACTCTGGAACTTCTGGCCACCGTAACCAGAGGGTAAGTTTTTCAGGAGCATGCTCAGCCAGCTCTACTTCGCCAGCTTTCTCGCGAACTGAGTGATCACCTACACTTGTCGCCGCCCTTACGCCGCCAAACTACTTCCGCAGGCCAAAAGTGTTGCTGAGACTCCCGACAAACTCACTCAAACAATAATCCAGACCCCGAATTTGTGGCACGCTTCTCAGTTTGCTTTCTAGAAGCTCAGTTTGCTTCTCAGGATCACAGTAGCTTAATGTGGTTAAGGCCGTCCTTAATACAGAAAAAAGCACCGTCCGTCGTGAAAAACAGCTGTGATAACGCGTCTAAATATATCCGTCCGTTTCAGGGGCAAGTCTGTGTACGTAGCGGCCCCGTCCTACGCGTATTCCCCCGCCCCAGCTTACCATGCCAGCTATGTGCAGCCTTACGTCCAGCAGCCTATCGTCCAGCAGCCTATTGTCCAGCAGCCCATCATCCAGCAGCCCATCTACGTGCCGGCTGCCCCCCAGCCGATCGTGCAGCGGCTGCCACCGCCGTCGCCGCCGCCGCCTCCGATCTACTATGAGATCACCAAAACGCACGTGGTGACAAAGACGAAATATGTGACCAAATACGAGGAGAAGCCGGTGATCGTCGATCGTCACCACCCTGTGTACGTTACCGTCACCAAGTACGAGGACCGGCCGTCGGCGGCGTACGGTCCCCCGCACCACGGGTACGCGAAGCGCTCCCTCAGCTTGGAAACGCCCTACTCGGACTCATACCAGACGGACGCCGGATCCGAGTCCGGGCGGGCCACGCCCCAAATCACCGCTCGAGCCGCACGGTTCACAAACCAGGGCCCTTCACAGACTCCCTAGCATGGAAGGCTCGCGAAGCGTGGTATGGGGGGCCGACGCTCTGGCCAGGCGGCCCAGGTCAGCACTGAGCTGGCGTGTTATGTACGTTATGCATACGTTACGCAGATCATGTGCAATAAATGAAAGAAGTTTTTGACTGAAGACGTTTCACTGTGACTACGTTGAGGTTACCTGATGTGAGTTGCTATGGCAACCGCACTCCTGTGATGCTGCCTGTCAAACACTTACCACAGCCCGCTTCGATTCTTCTTGTCAACAGATGTCAACATACGACTGGAGACATCGAGGCAGGTGTATCAGTGTCGTAACTCCGACCTTCAACTAAATATTCTATAGCCGTACGCGAATGTTCGTTCGTGATTGCGCTCGTTTGACAAGGGTGTGTACGCCAGAGTTTGCATGACGGCATTAGACGTAAGTTCTAATGCGGATCACCTTCCCTGGCGATGGGCTTTTGATGAATTACCGCTGCGGGCTCAACCCATCCAGGGACCGGGAGGGGGAGGGAAGGGGGGGGGGGAGGAGATGGTGGTCGACAGGAACACTTGTGTAGGTCGCGTCAAACATTTTGATTGGCTTAGCTCCTCACGGCGTAACATTTAACTTCCTCCGGCGGCCGGCAAGTGAAGCCGAATCCATGACCAGTACGGAACGATCTTTAGATGGAAGGGACGGGAGGTATACAAGTCTACCGCAGATCGCCCACCACGCTTGCTGTGACCCCTCTTTATGCTATAGACCGACGACACTCAGTCGATCCCACCCCCCCCCCCCCCCCTCCCCCGCCTGGCGCCTCTTAAGCGCGCCGCTGACGCCAGCTGACTGCCAGTCAGCTGGCTGGCGGGGTCGGTGGGCGGACGCGCGAGTGATGCCAGGCATGAGATCGTTTATATGAAATAGGCATAGACATATTCACGTATTGGCCCCGCGGCATGTATCTCCTCCCTTTATCAAATTTATGACGTGTATTAAGATATTCGTAAAGACAGGACACCTGAAAATTTCAGGTAGGCACGTAAAACTAGACAGAGCAGAAACACACAATGCTGTTAAACAGTACCCTGTTTTACAGTACGAACGGTACCTGCACCCTGTTCAGCGATAAGTTTTGAGTTGTCCCCGCTCCCTCTATGATAATTTTTGCACATCCTGAAAGTAACCCACAGTCCAGAGAACAAGATACATCAGCTGTAATCGCTTTGATACACCCGCTTTAACAAGAACCTTGTTTACACCCGACACAACATCGCCTGAGGCCGTAACTTCCGAGTGAGTGCGGCCGCTATTCCTGAGGAGCCTCGCGAACCTATCCCACGGCCTGCCTTATCGTGGCAATGCGCCATAGATACTGGTTGTCTTGTGTATTGCTCGACTTGCGTTCTCAGCAGCGGAATTACTTCTCATGGACAGATCCTACATTGTACTACGCGCTTACCAACAGCAGCTATAGCCGCTAGCCGGAACAGACAGTAGGGTACACTGCTGGAGCCGCGCCGCCTGCCCCGCCCCGCCCCGCCCCCCCCCCCCCCCCCCTCCCACCGCCCAGCTCCCGGTGCGTTGCTCCATCGAGAGACGACCTGTTGGGAGCGGTCCGTGTTTACTCGGCAGCGTATGGTACCTTCACTTCGCGGCCGGTAGTGCGACTGAGCAGTTGTCCGTCACCATGAAGGGCTTGCAGGTGAGCACCAGCTGGCGGGGAGAGTGTTGGCCAGCTGTCGGTCCACGCGCCGTTTGGAGTTCAGGTGCCGCAAAGAATGTGTCAGTGCTGTTGTCGTTATCGAATAAGAGTGCTGAATTTGGGAGACTAAAGTTTAGTGTACACCTGGTTTATGCGGTCTTTGTGTTTCGTTTAGCAGTCTTGCCGATAAGGAGAGCGCTCAACTCTGTACAACATTAAAGGAATCAAACTTGAGATTATTATGAATGGTCTGCACCAATAGCCGATGATATAACCAATAAAAGTAAAATGGAAAGCAAAATGGCTGCCCGCTCAAAGCGCCCCAAAACCCCAAAACACTCGAAAAAATGAATATCAAATATAAGCCGTTGTGTATTGCGTCAAAAGATCTCCCTGTAAACCCTGTCAGGAATTTTAGAAACGTCTCAGAAAAAATCATTTAATTATAGTCATAAGCGTCTTAAATACAGGTCTCTGGTGTTCTGCATACGATTCCTGCCACTTATACTGCAGAACGGAAGCGCACAGTAGCATTCGATGGGTTCAAAATTGTTACAGCCCGGGACCATGCCAGGTGCGGCATCCCCCGCATCCTCTGCTCGCAGCTGTCGAATTAGCTCTGGCATCCCTCAGGCCAAGTCAGGATCAGCTTTCCCGATCGCAACACGGAATGCTCTACACGCGCGAAAAGTGGTGGTTGATTAGATTGGCTGGTTGATCGGGTTCAATGTGTATTGCAATAAAGTGTCGCCGATTTTTGCAGGTGCTTACAACGCTAATGCTGCTCTGCACAGTTTCACACTCAACATTCAAGGGCAAAGGGTATGTATACATACAGTGTAAAAGACGACGCTCCTCGGTTGTGGAGGGAGATCTAGCGGGCTTTAAAGCCAGCTAACCGGAAAACTCGAGTACGTGAGCCGATGCGTTCATGAGCATGTCACGCATTTCCAGGCAAAAATAATGGATCCGCCCTTTTTGGGGTGCGTCAAAGGAGTTATGTCAGATCCCAACGAACAGGGCAGCAAAAAAACAAACAAACATGAAATCAACTGCGTGGAATTGGCAAATATCTCGTCTATATGACATCAACTGTGACTTCGACACCGTTTAACTCATAGTTGCGTTAGCAATCGACCGTAAGTAAGGGGGGGGGGCGTGGTCACGTGGACTTCACAGGAGTTAAGTCCAAATTATAATGTCTTGTATTCACCCAAAACAGTTGCAGTTTTCCCTTTGCCAACTCCAGTGTCAGCAAAAACATAAGCCGTTCCAGACACGCCGATTTCGACGAGTGAAATTTGGCGGGTTCTGCCAGGCCTACAGCCAGTCAATCTCGAAGCTTCCCCACAAACATATTCTCCGCTTGGTTCCTAACAGTTTGAATAATTGATTCTCGTTCAAGCATAGTTAAAGAATAGCCTTGAAATTTTATTAGATTGACTAACGCCAAAGCTTTGCAGGATCATCGGGACTGGCTACTCAAATATTTGCATGTTTTAGTTAGTGCTGCCAGGGTGTTAGGATTGGTTTCTGCCATCTTGCCGTGACGGACGCCCGTGACGTGCGTTACAACCTCGAGCGCAGCCAAACCTCGTGACACATGGACAAGTGTCCAGCCGGCTCTGTCTGGCCCCTCCTCTCTTCCCTGACTGGAATGTCTGCACTGAGGGCTGTCCTTTAAGCAGTAGCCCGTGAGGGCGCAGTCAGTGCGGTGGTCGACACGATCGCGCGCTCACAGCCAAGCAGTGATGTGCTCATCATTCCACTAATTCGTTCTCGCCTAAATATTAACATATCATCACTAACTTGATAAGAGGAGATTTGAGGGCCTGGTTATGTCGCCGTCATCGCTGTTGCTAATGAAAATAGTGCCATAAAGAGGCCAATGCTCTCGATCATAAATTGCAGTCACGCGCTGAGCTTCTTCCTCCTTTTTCAGGCATAAAAGCAAACACGTCGAGACGCCGTCATACTTTTATTCCTACTCTTCCTACCCCGCCTACCAGCAACCAATCGCCCATCAGCCAATCCAGCAGCCAATCATCCAGCAGCCTTTTGTCCAGCAGCCTTTAATCCAACAGCCGATCGTCCAGCAGCCCATTGTCCAGCAGCCGATCGTCCAGCAGCCTATTGTCCAGCAGCCCATCGTCCAGCAGCCTTTAGTCCAACAGCCCATCGTTCAGCCTATTGTCCAGCAGCCCATTGTCCAGCAGCCCATTGTCCAGCAGCCCGTCTACGTGCCGGCCGCCCCCCAGCCGATCACGCAGCGGCTGCCGCCGTCGCCGCCGCCGCCCCCAATCTACTATGAGGTCACCAAAACGCACGTGGTGACGAAGACGAAGACAAAATATGTGACCAAATACGAGGAGAAGCCGGTGATCGTCGATCGTCACCACCCTGTGTACGTTACCGTCACCAAGTACGAGGACCGGCCGTCGGCGGCGTACGGTCCCCCGCACCACGGGTACGCGAAGCGCTCCCTCAGCTTGGAAACGCCCTACTCGGACTCATACCAGACTGACGCCGGATCCGAGTCCGGGCGGGCCACGCCCCAAATCACCGCTCGAGCCGCGCGGCTGGCCAATCACGACCCCCAGTAGACCCCTGGGACCCCCGGGAAGGCCAGTAGTCGCTCCGTCGGGCGGGACCGGCGGCGTGCTGACAGTGTTTTACTTGGTGAGGTGTCTGACGTGATGGTCAGTTGGGCCCAGCCCAGTGACGACAGCCCAGCTGGGCCCAGCTCAGCGACGAGGCCCTGTTACGTGACGTGGACGCGGCCGGCTTTTTGTTCGGAGTGTGGGACCGCAATACACTTGGCTGATCGTGCATTTGTGGTTCTACTTCGAGGCAACGCGGCGTCTTCCAAGGATTTGACCAGGTTTGGCGCTGAGCTCATCATGAGAACCGGAAACGTCCGTTACAGCATGGATGTGTGATGTGGTGGTGCGTGGCATTTGTGACATGTTCAAATCGCACAATTTGTAGTGGGGTGGTGAATGTGATAGGTAACATGCAACTTCAATACACCCACGGTGACCCAACAAAGTTTGCCCATAGCATGCACCCATTCTAACCTCCGCAAAACATATGCGAAGATAACACCAGATGCACATAGGACACCACGTGGCCAACCAGCGGATTCCGCGGTTTATTGCCCACAAATGTCGATTAAATATTTTCTTACTTTGTCTTTTAGGTTTTAACGACCTCTAGTGGATGGATTTACCTCGGGCCGCACAACAATCATTGATGATATAATTCTGCACTATTGGAAATGTAACGGAGCAGCGCACACGGTTCGGTACTTAACGTTGCCGCGTAAGGACCATCTGGTCAAACTCTGGTTCACCATCTTCACAGTGCAGTTTCAAGAAATTAGTTTAAAAAAGCCTGCTAATTTTGGTGTCCATCGGAACGAAATCAGACCGGAAAGGGTCTTCCCACCAGCAGCGTGTTGTCAGTCACAACACTTCTGCAGCACTTCTCACCTTAAATCCCAGTGAACTGCAGAGCCACAATACCCATATGGGCTGACAATAGTTGATCAATTAGGCTGGTTTTGTTAATGGCAAGAATTTCATGTGTAATGAAAGCCGCAAAACAGCAACTTTATTTCAAACGGTCACATAAATCATTCGTGCAGCCCCAACATTTCAAACATTTTGATGAGCGTGCAGCCGCCATCTGCCGGCATCATCTGTTATACGCTGCGAGCCTGGACACACGGTCGATCAGAGCTGCGCCAAAATGGCGGCCTGCCTGCGTGAGACAATCACGACACGGTATTAATTCAAGACGTTTACTTACGCCCATTTTAGAACGAAAATATGGCATTTTACCAAATATTTTTCAAGCAGTACGGCAACAAATCACGAGAGCTGTATCTTGCTTCGCATCAGTTGTGTTACAGCGAGTATTGTAGGGTACTACCATGCATACGAGCTGTTCCCATTATGAATCAAAGATTAATGTTCTGACTCATGTCTGACGACATTCGGTTATATAAATGCGCATTATGATCGCCAGCGCTTTGGGCATGCTTCTGTTTGAAGCCGTAAAAAATATTCACATTTTCGGCGCCTATGAATTGCCCCACGGAACGAACTAATTACATCGAGAACGCTACCTTGCTGACAGTTTGCATACGAAAGCATACCGACCCCAAGCAGCACATTCAGTGGGACTGAGGACCAGCTCCAAGCTGTCCGCCCCCTCCCCCCCCCCCCTTTCCCCGGGCACCGCGGTGCGCCGATGACGTGCGCGCGGCGCGTCTGTCAACGGCGTTCGCCGGTCACTTCCGCGCAGGTTTCGCAAGGCCCGACGTTTCTAATCTTCGCGTCAAGGCTGCAGCGGCCGCCTCGGCCGGCTGGTCCGGCTCGGCTTCCATCGGATCAACGGACAGTGGATCAGCTCAGCCAGCGCACGCGCTCGGGCGGCTCAACGACCAACGCCGTGGCGCCAGCTGCGACAACCGTGGCGTGTCAACACACTCACGCGGCCGCAACCATCTGCACCCAGCCACGCAAGTGCAAAAAACCGCCACCGCACACAGCCATACACGCCTCCGCGCACGACTACGCATGACCTATAGCTACGCACTCTCGACTGCAGCGGGTTGCCTCATCAAGAGACGGTGTTGGAATGCCACAATCTCTGGCGGTGCCTGAGACCTTCAGTTGGCGGCCGGCGGCGCGGCAGTGCAGATGGCGGCCATCATGAGAGGATCGAAGGTGAGTGCCCGAGTGCGGGGAGAGCGGCGGTCAAGTATCGGACCGACGTCCTACGGCTGGGGTTCGGCTGCTGTCCGGTCGGTAAATCAAGGCTACCGTCGTTGCTAAGCTATTTTTTAAAGTCATTGAATGGTTGGGGTCACCTGCACTAGGTTTGCACCACGCCTTACGAAGGCGGCGTCGTTCTGCAGTTCAGAAATGTGCGGCGTATTTCCATAGCCTCATTTTAATGGATTCCCTCTAGCGGGGGTGTGGACATCGCTCTGCCCTTTGCCCGTAGTGTTATGAATAAAGACGTCTTGCCTATTAATCACGTCTGTGCCCATGGCTCAAAATTCAACTCAAAGCAGCATAGCACAACACGAATTATGCTGTTATCATGCACTCTTGAGCTGCGTGGGATCACTCAGCTTCTGTTGAGCTCACGTGCTACAAGAACATTACTCTTATATTTTGCAGGTGGTTGCAGCCCTTCTTCTGTGCTGCACAATTACGCACGCAACATTCAAAGGCATCGGGTAAGAGCGAACTGTCGGCGACATCTGGTCATGTGTCGCAACGAATCTGGTCGATAATCGTGAATACGATTGTGAGGTATTCTTGTCATTCCTTTGATCGGATTAGGAAAACAGCATTAATGTCATTTCAGCAATCCTGTCATGCACGCACACAAACGTGCAAAGAGCTATCGCATAGTATACGGGCTCATTCGGAGGTCTTACCGCTTTTCTGTGCAGAACATTCTGCGCCCCCCCCCCCCCATATGGCTACCTTGGTATACATTTCTGGATCATTTCTAACGGCCCCTTGAAACTCGATAACTTTTCCTTACGTATATGCTACATGTTGAGCACAAATGTTGAACAAACGACGTCGTTCAGGGACCACTCTGCAAATTTATTTTGGGAGAAAATTCCGCTGCCATTTTTGCCTGGGAGCTCTGAAGAAGCTTTGAGTGAAACTCCGCTAACTCGCAGTTTGTCCGTCATTGTTGCCTTTTAAAGTTCTTTCCTGAATCCACCCATAAATAAATGTGTTGATGAAACGTGCCATGACGCAGTGACATAATTCATGTAGATCACCGGTCAACACCAGGTTGATAAAATGGTGTAGCGCGGCACGCCGCCAAAATTCGCCTAACCATATCGAGCTGTTTTTGCCTCGTTGACTCCGCCCAAGTCAGTGTTCGTATATGCATGACATTGTTTTGTACTTCACGCATCCCAATTCGATATTCATATAGTTGTATCGAGAAAATTGAGTGAAACCTAACTTCCTATTTTTACAAGTTTTTCCTTGCAATGGCTTAACAAATCCATGATTCTTTACCTTCGAAAATCACTCGAAACATGCAGAATAGGCGCGCAGTGGTTCTTAAGCCACGGTAGTTGCATAGAAGTTGGTTAATATGCACGACATCAGTGAGACCTCAAACTGCCCCCAAATCTTCGACCTCCGTCCTCTGTAACAATCTTACTAAATGATTCTAAATGTATGCTTCATCAGGTTATCCCGCATTATGAAGAACTGGTCCTTTTTTGTGAGGAAATTTAGTACTCTGGACCAAAGTGAAGACGCAGTATCCCCACGAAGCGCGTTGGATCCGCTCAAATTACGGCGAAGACACCAAACAGCTGTTCGATGTGCTCCGGGATTTTGAACTATTTAGGCCCTCCCGATAATGTTGTCAACATATGATCAGCGCATTTGGATTGGCAACTGTATCAAGTACACTGCGTATGGCCCGCTATCAGCATCCAACGTGTCTTCTGCGATGCTGTGCAGTGGACGTACCTCAAACTGCAGTTTCTTAACACCCCGCAGCCTCTGCTCCCCATACGCGATCCTTACGTTCCAGCCTATTCTAGCATAGGCTGTACGCCTCAATCATCGCTGATTAGCGAGAAAGTAGACAGCTCTCGAAGTCGGTCCAATGCGCGCTGTAGGGTACACCATAGCAGCCGCGTGGCGTTTTACCAGACATTCGTACGTTGCAGCTTTGGAAGACGCTCCTTCGGCGCTGTTCGAGCATATTCTGCAGCTCCGTTGTACGCGCGTGGCTACCCTTCGTACCAGGCCTACCAGCCGCTTTATTCCGCTCAGCGGCCGACTTACCACGTGCAGCAGCCTGCTGTGCGGCAGACGGCGTACTACGTGCAGCCTGCCGTGCAGCAGTCGGCATACTACGTGCAGCCTGCAGTGCAACAGGTGGCGTACTACGTGCAGCAGCCTGCCGTGCAGCAGCCCATCATCCAGCGGCCTACTTAT